CCAGAACTGGTCCTGAAGTGTCTATGGAAATGCAACGTGGGCCGAGCTGAACTGATCCGAACCGTCACGGTGGAAAAGGATCTTAAGATGTTGGTAAGGCAGTTTTTATTGACTGTGGATAACGGCCTTTTACTACACAAGGCTGTTAGCCAAAGGCCTGTTGGCCAAAGCAGTGAAGCAGGGAGTCAGAACAAGAACAAAGGCCGACTGCGTATTGATGTACGCCGACCTCCTGGAGCCTGGGGGGCCAGGGGGGCCAGGGGCCGGATAGGCCGATTTCTAGGGACAGATAAGGAGCTAACAATCTGTAAAATCTAAAGAGGTGGCTGAGCAGTGAACAGAGGGAGCACTCAGTTATTGGTCATTTGCTCAATATTTGTTTCTATCTTCATTTTTTCCAGGAATGTTTGTTTGTCTTTTAGTTTTATTTTAATCAACTTAAAAAATAATAATAATAATAAGTGGTTGCCAATATTTACTGGTTAGGATTCCACTCAGTTCTCCAGCACATATGTCACTCCTCACTTCCCTCTTTTGAGGAGTGCTGTGGCAGATCGGTGCTGGCATTCTGAGACTCGTAATATATAATTAACAATGTATTTGACTAACAGTTCCTCCATTCAGCCAGCTTACACTTTATCCTTTCTATGCCTCTCTTTGATTACTGACCCAGTCATGGCGCCACGGTTTCTCTTTACCAAACGCCTGATGCTCCAAAGCCTTCACTTTGGCTCCTTTCTCGGAGCAATTAGATCTATTGACAAGGCCAATGTGGCTGGTCTGTCATGGGCCTTGACATCCTGAGAGACCTGCCAAGCCAGCCAGCCAGTCGCTCTCCACAGTTAGCATATTATATGACAGTTAGAGAAAGAGGGCTGAAGCCAACATGTATAACCTCTGTTCCTGTCACCATCACCGAGCTGAAATGAGTCAGTAAATTATTAACTGGTTTGTTTGCTCTAGAACAACTTTGTGAGGAGGGAGAGAGGTGTCTGAAGGCATGCTGCGGACACAGCGACACAAATTAATGAACAAAAATAATGATTGGGGATTGCATATCATGAGTACATTTGAAGAAGCATGCATACATGTTAGTTATAAAGATTTAATTCAAAGAGACTCCCTTAAACACTAAAAACCAGGTTTCAGACTGACAGCTTTATTGCATCTCTGTTTGTGAGTGTACATAATTCTCTGTGCCTCTCCGTCTTATCTCCACTAAGATTTGCTGTGCCTTGCCATCCTCTGCGGGGCTGAGTGGTGCCAGTAGCTGCTGCAGATGGACAGGTGGAGATAGTGACCATGAAGTGGCGCCACCGCTGTCTTTTATCTTCCCATCCTGGAGGCTCCGGTCTGGCCTGACCTCGGTCATCTCCTCCCCTCTCCTCTCCTCTTTCTATTCCTTTCATTGTGAGCTGCATTTTTAATCAGCCTGGGTCATCCAATATAGAGCCACGAGACCAGAAACCATGGCCTGCCAATCAAGAGCTGCCACCTTTGTTTCTTGCACACTCTTTCCAAAGGCACATTCAGCCTGAAAGAAAAACTGCTTAAATATTTTCAACTCTTCAAAGACTTTTGTATGACTGTGAAATATATATTTTTGTCATTTAGTTTCCCCTTGGTACAATGCTTGGCAACATTAATTTGACCTAGATAGCACAACTTGTTTTGCAAGTAAGACCCTTGTGTTTCTGGTTCTTCTGCCCTGATCTGTACGCTCAGCAAGATGCTTTCAGACAAGAACCTTATGACTGAGCTGTAATTCCTCCTAAGGTCATATTGGCTCTTTCTCCAAGACCACTTCTCAACTGTGTTGCCAAACCACTGGGGTAGGCGCTGTGGAGAGGACATGCTGAGAAACAGGAAGCAGAGAGTCTCTGGGTGCAAAGCGCAGAAATGGAAGGTGGAACTCCAACAGCCCCTCAGTAGTTGGTGGTGTTTGTGATGCAGAGCCCAAGGGGAAATGGCAGGAGCACAAGAAGAGCACAGGGGGCTGAACAATTATGTTTAGAACATCTTACAATGTGACCTCACATTGTTCACACTTGGTTGGTTGTGGAAGTAAAGAGCCGTGGCAGTGGTTTCTTCTTTTGTTAATTGGATGTAAATGTTAACGCAATGAATCTCTCTCATGCATCCAGTTGCTCTGCTGGCAGAGAATGGTAGAATGGGCTGACGCCCGAGCATGTCAGTCTGACGCGCTCTCATCGCCCTGACACTAGGAGAGACCATTAGCTCTAATTTGATAAAATATCCTACCAGTTAGACCCAAAGCACTGCAGAATCAATGGAGATGAGCAGAAAGATCAGTTGTAAACACAACTACCACTTGGCCTGGGGCGCCCACACAAACTAATTACACATTTTGAATGTTTCTAATTATGGAATGAGCTCAAAACGCCATCTCCTTCCATGGGGGTGGATTGAACGTATATGTGGCCATCCATGTGTACTCTGCACGTTTGTAAAATGGACTGCAGGATAGAAACCTACAGGGCTCAACGCTCTGCACAAGTTATTGAAATAGAGTTTTAGTAGAAATAGGGTGTCAGCTCAATGGGCTGAATGAGCCTCTCATTGTGCAGGCATGTCCTGAAAATGCTAAGCAGAGCAGAAGCAGCCAAAGAGCGTCAGCAGCACGAAACAGCACAGGTGGTTCCCGTAGTCGCACTCTTCCTTGATGTTTGCTCATCAGCACGAGGCCAGGACTCTGAGGACTACACTCATGTGCAGGTCAGAGGGATGAAGATGTTCACACCCTGGATAGAGAGGAACCATGCTTTGAGACAGGAGTGAAGGAAGCCATCTTTGTGAAGAGAACCTGTCCATCGTTAAGTAATGGGATCAGTTCCAGGTAAAAACCAACGCAGACGTGTTCCTGTTTTTAGTTTTCTTCATCGCTTTACAACCTAGCTGTTTGTGTCTCATTTTTTAATACCATTTATTTTATTTGTTCTTTTCAACTCCTATGCTTGCCTTTATTATTGTCTGCATCACTCTTGGTTAACATCAGGTCTCTCTTGTAAATGTCCCCGAGGCTCAATGGGACTAACCTGTAGAAATAAAGGTTGAACTAAACAGGGGCGGAGCCTCCGTGTCCAACCGTCCCCCTCTGACAATGTTATTGCTAGCATCAATCAGCCCTCTGTGAATAGCAAGCAGCCATCAGGGCGCTAACGAGCCATCGTTGAGCTGATGGTCCTGCATCAGGTGAACAGCTAGTTCTGGAGGTCAAAACCAAACATACCACTTTATTTATAGAGCACTTACAACAGCAACAAGGCCAACCAAGGTGAAGCACAGCAGAAACAAACATGCAAAGCACACAGCAAAAATAAACTATAATAAAAAATAAAACAAAGTAAAAATAAAAATGCATAGATCTGAGTGGAAGAAGAGAACTAAACGGCTAACACTGTAGAATACAGAGAAGTTAAGAACAACTCACACAGTGTCAAAAGCCCGGGAATAAAAGTGGGTCTTTAAAGGAGACAGTGAGGGAGGGGCCTGCCTGACCAGCAGTGGTAACAACCCACAGTCTTGGACCTGCAACACAGAGGCCCTGCTATCTTCACCTACTTTACTTGCTTTGTATTTTTCTCTTCATCCAAATGTAAAAAGCACTGTCTCACATAAATAACTCTGCAAACGTGTAAAACATCCATGAAACATGTTTGAGGGCAGTTTAAGCAGACAAGCTGGACACACGTCTTCCTGTTCACCAACATGCAGGTCTTAGCTGCATTTGGACAAACCATTAGATTATTGAGCAAATCCACAACAGGTAAGATATTTATTGTTCATAACCTTCCAAAACACTAGTTCAAGAAATATCCCTTTGATTTTCACTGAACACAACATGGCTTTATTTAACTTAGTGTTTACATCCATCCATCAATCCACCCAATCATCATCCATCCACCATTCATCATTCACTCATTCATCCATCATCCATCCATCCACCATTCATCCATC